GAGCTGAAATTTTACGTGTGATCAGGCATTGTCATAAATCTTTTGCCTGGAAAATTTAAGGAGTTATTATTATGTACATTTAGATGATACAACCGGTAGGATACTTTTGCACGTTACTGTACGTATATGACGATTGAATTGCACTCTGTACGTACGTAACTAGCGAAAAATTACGTAGATCAAATATACGTTACAAGGCCCGATATGGGTAAACTTTATTAATTATTTAATAAGCATTATGCCTTACAATACTACATATTAAAAAAGTACCAAATTTTGAGACAGTGACTGAGCAGTCACGGTCGAGTTACATCATCGTCACGTAATCGTCACATTTTACCCCGAATTAGTACTCTTCCTAACCTGAAATGCTACATATTTGATATTAGATGGTGGTCATTCTTCGAACCAATACGAAAAAAAAGATCATAAACTTTTCTGGCTCTTTCTGTTTTCTTTCGGAGTGCATTCTTGGAAACTTCCTTTGGGGAGCTGATCTCGAACCTCATCGTTAACCTTCTTTTGAGCCTCATGTTCTTCCATAGATTGTTTATAGTTGGTAAGGCGTTTCTCCAATTCCTCTCCAAGGAAGTAATATGCTCTTAAGACTTCATGACGTGCATTATCGCTATTTTCCTCGGCTTTGGATATTTTTAAATATAGATCGAAAAAAATTCGGGAACCATCAACTTCTCGTACAGATTCTTTGTGAAGACCTTTTTTTCTCCCTAATTTCAGAAATTCGAGTGGTATCGGACGATAATTCCCGGATAAGCCTTTTTAACACGATCGAGTCTTCATCTTTAATCACTTTTTTAACTTTTTTATTGGAGGAATTTTCGGTTAATACATCCGTAGCTTCATTGGTCCGCTTGAATCGGATTGGGTTTCAACTTGAGATTCCTTTTCCTTCTCTTCTTCCCCGTCCTCTTCTCTATCACCCATATCCACGTCTCGATCCTGGGAGGAAATTCTTGGTGAATTAATCTCAATATTATGGGTAAATTCATCAACTAGAGTCGATGTGCCACTTATTTGAGTCCCGTCTCTGAGTTTCGTCAACAACATCAACGCTTTCGCCACAACCGGAAAAAGGGCATATACACCGTATACATGATTTTTTTTTTTCGATACAAACTCTGTGAAAGACGTGTCCACATTCGAGTATAGTAAATGCTTTATAAGCAACTGCTAAAATATTTTTGGTACAGATTGAGCATTTCGGGATTTCTGGAATTTTATCCAGGTCAACATGGGTCTCCTTAACTTACACCCCGGGGGTGTAAGTTAAATTGGTACACCCCCCCACGTATGGTTAATGTGATATTGAAGACTAATTCCAGGTCAACGGTATATTATATTTCACTAGTTAGAGCATCATATAGTTAAATCAGGGAGATAAAGTTTTGGCTTAC